TGGCCGTGAGAAGACCTACAGCTCGGTGAGCACCCACTACTGGTGGCAGAAGATATACAAGTGGACGAGCACTTATGTGCGCACGTGCGAGACGTGTCAGCGAGTGAAGTCGTCACCTCATGCTGCAGCGCCGTTGGCGAGTTTGCCTGTCCCTTCGGGCTGCTGGCAATCCATGAGTATGGACTTTGTGTTTGGCCTGCCGGCGGACGCGGCAGGCAACACAGGAGTCGTGGTCTTCGTGGACCGACTGAGCAAGATGGCTCACATTGCGGCTGTGCCGGATACCATCGATGGTAAAGGTACAGCAACGCTGTTCTTGGACCGAATGTTTCGGTAACACGGACTCCCGAGTCGATTGTCTCGGACCGAAACCTCCGCTTCACGGGCAACTTCTGGAGCGCGGTCTTTGCGGTGCTTGGCACCAAGCTGGACATGACCACGGCGGACCATCCGCAGGCCGATGGTCAGACCGAGCGCGTGAATCGCGTCGTCGAGGACGTGCTCCGCAGCATTTGCGCTGAGACGCCGAAGCGTTGGAGCGCCATGCTGCCACTCGTTGAGTTTGCGTTGAACAACGCCGTGCACGCCTCGACAGGCTACACGTCGTTCTACGTGAACAGCTTATCTCATCCCCGCGTCCCGCTGACGCCGCCACGTGGTGGTCTCGGGCTTGGTGGGGGAGGAGAAGCCGATTTAGCTGATCGGCTAGCCGATGTCAGCCCGGCTACTGTTCGTAAACAGGTTGACGTTTTTTGTCGACGCGTCTGAGTGTCTTACGACATGTTCGTGACGCAATGGCTGAGAGCCAAGACAAGCAAAAGGAACATGCAGATGCCAGAGGCAGAGGCAATGTTGAAAGTTATGAGGTCGGGGACCTGGTGCTGCTTAATGCTAAGAACCTACCTACACATGCAGTGTCAGCCGTCTTCAAGTCGAAGTTGCGCCCGCGCTTCATCGGACCTTTCAAGGTTGTGGCCAAGAAGGGCCTTGCGTACACGCTCAATCTTCCGAAGAAGATGCGGACGCACCCCGTCTTCTACGTGGGCTTGCTCAAGCCGTATGCAGGTGCAGATGGAGGCACCGAGGGTGACGAGGTCACAGGCGCGGAGGTCGCAGTCGTCGAGGACGCGACCATCAACGCGGGCACCGCGGGAACAGGCGGGAGTGCCGCGGGCACAGCAGGAGCCGCAGGCGCAGGAAGCGCAGCAGGCGGGGCCTGCATGCGGGCCAGGAGGTCGAGCTGACCCTGAAGCACAGCCTGGTTACACTGTAACTCCGCGAACTCTCGAGCGTGTCGCTCTTCGCGATCGCGAAAGTAGTTCATCCAGCCGTTCAGGCGAACGAAGTCGTCCTCCAAGGTCCCAAGTCGGTCCCAGACCGCCCGAGGCACCCCAAGCCACTCCACCCGCTCAGCGAGCCTGTCGAGATCAGTCGCACAACGTGCCAGACGCGCGTCAATGTCGTGAACGTGATCCCGAAGGCGACCAGCCTGTTGCTGAGTCTCGTGCAACTCGTCAAACGTTGCAAGACGGGTTGGCGTGTCCTCCACCGGCTCTGCTCGATGAGCATGGGAATCTGCATTACCATGTGGAGCGCCTCCTGGCGAAGCGGCGGTGCCGGGGTCAAAACCAGTATCTGGTGAAATGGCGAGGGTACCCTCACTCCGAGAACTCATGGGAGTTTGAGGTGCTCCTCCGCCAGGATTGCCCAGACGTCGTGGGCGCTTTTGATCAGCTTGATCACCAGCGCCCCGAGGGCTCAAGGCCGGCACGCCGGCCGTCCCGCGCTTCCCGGCAATAAGCTGGGGAGCTGCTGGGTCAGCCACATTGCTCCGAGGCTGATCCTGAGCCACAGCGCTCACTCCCTCGCGGGAAGGAGCGGCTGGAGTGCTCGAGGGAGCGAAGCGCGCAGCGCTAAACTGGCCATGCGGCTGGGCGATTGCCGCAAGTCTGCGCTTGGCTCGGACCTTCATAAAGTCAAAGCGGAGCTTGCGTTCAATGCGAACATCCACTTCGCTGAAGCTGGCTCTGAGAGCTTTCATGGAGCTGAGCTTCCGGACGTGCTCGGCCCAGGACTCGAACTGAGCGTCGTACTCGATCGAGTCTTCCCCCGGGCCAAGTACCACCGGGTACGTCCGCATGGCGGGCACGGACTTCCGCTGCATCTGCAGCCACAACCGCTCGCGATACTCCGCGACAGTCGTCGACTGTGGGGTGAGGAGTCGCTCTCGCAGAGACGTACGCAGTGCGAGCCCCTCCGGAGTTCGGGCCGCGGGCCCAATGGCGTGCAGCGCGAGAGACTGCTGGAACGCCAGGCGGTACGCCTCAGCGGGGTCGCGAGGCCGAAAGCCGTAATCGGCCACGCTGGGGTTCAGCAGAGGCCGCAGCTCAGGGCGCTGGGAGCGCATGAGAGCCATCTGAGCCGCGACCTGCTCGGACTGAGCTTTGTCCAAAGAATTGGAAATGACGGGGCCCAGGGGCACGTCCTCACCACGAGGCGGCGAATACCGTGGCTCAGTGAGCGCGCTCAGCTCGTAGAGACCGGAGAAACGTTCAGGGAACGGATTTGGAGTTCGCAGCGGTGGCCGCGGCTCCTCCCTCGACGGCGCAGCGCGCTCTGCAGGTGGACGGCTCGACGAGCGCACAGGAGACGTGCGCGCGGGGCGCTCTTGATCGCGACGGCTCGGAGAGCCAACTGGGACCGGCGAGCCTTCTTCACGGCGTGTCGACGGCGTGGGCGAAGCGTCGCGGCGGCTCGGGGAGCGTCGCGTGGCTGGGGACGCATCTCCTCGGTTCGGAGAACCCAGTATGGACTCGTCCACCTCGCCCTCTTCACCAAAGAGTTCCCTAGGATCCATGATCTGGCGGGTTGGTGCTCGAGGAGAGCTGGGGCTTGCGCGCTTCGAGCTCCGCTTCAGGTGTTGCGCCGCAAAGTACTCGGACACCGAGAGCCTGGAAGGCGTCGAGGGTGTGCGCGCGGGCGCTGGCGTTCGCGAAGGTGCGGAGGCACGCAGTGCAGAAGCACGAGAGGAGCGAGGCTCCGAGGCGGATCTCGCGAGAGGCTGTCTGCGGTCGCAAGACCAAAAAGCTTTATGACTTGATGTCATGTCATGTGAGGGCGCGTTGCGCCGAGAAGTTCTCAGAGAGGTCCACGCGATGTGGATTGACTCGTTCGAGAAGGAGGCTTGACGGTACAAGACCCGGTGGTTGACCGTTAAGCGTGAACACCCGTGTCCACGGCTTGGTGGGGGAGGGCGTAACGGGGTTACACGAGAGTTACCCGAAGGGTTATGAAGTGGGTACACACTGTCTAACCTAAATAAGTAGGAGAATCAGTACATGGCTTCAGAGCAACTGGTTATGCATATGACTAGGGTTCACTATGCTAGATAGTGAACCGGATACATTTACACCGTAGGCGGCTTGGCCGCGCTAAAGAGAAATACATTCAGTTTTGAGATTTAAGGGTTAACTATTGGAGTCCGTAAGGTGTACGGACTCGTACGTTCTGGTATTAGAACGGGCTATCTTAAGCTGAGACTCTGTGAGTCTGTTACGTCTTCCTCTGACGCTGAAGCTACGGCAGCCCCGCTGCATTCTGTGTATATTAGGTGCTGGCAAACAAAGTAAGCCCACCAAAAGGAGTCATTTCAAGCAAAATGAAGAGATTTCTCGGCAACAGGAGACAAAAAACACTGTTCGCGGCTACTAGAATGTACCCCCTGCCTTATTAATCGCTATTCGTTAGCGTTCTGAGTATTAAGGACGCGTTTTTAAAACCTGCATGGCAATTTCTCGTGTCGTGCTGCGTCTAGATTTGTCGAAAGCCCAATTTTCTATTGGGTTTTTTAGCATATTTGCTTGGTCAAATTCGATGCGGAAATAAATGTCAAACTCACGGTTATCTCCGCTTTCGTATGAATGTCGGTAGGGCACTTGAACAGCGTTCATTTGAGCAACATTTAATTTTGAGTGTTGAGGCTACCGGTAGGCGCACCATCCTACATATCCTACCGATGGGGAGTAATGAACAAGTACCAGCAGCGGTAGCAGTAGCGGCAGCCACCGAGCGATTGAAGATTTCTTGTTATCGCACGAAGGCAGCGAAGAGCAGAAGCTTGAGGGTTAACTTTAACAAGAATTGTTTTTGGAGTGGCTCGTTTTGGCAATAATGCACTGCAGTGGTGGCATTAATGAACCCAGTGCCCTGTATTTATGCCATAATGCGTACATTTGTCCATCCCTACTCGACACAACGAGACATTGGTAACAGATAGGAACTGCTCCTGAATGAGGTGGTCGCGGACTCAAATAGATCGCTACATTGCCAGCCTCTGTACCGATTATTTGGGCTAGAATTTGGGCTAGTTGTCAGCATTTCAATCAATTATAGCACAGCGCTAGACTTCAATCACTGCAGTGATTTCAAACCAGTTTCGTGTCGCCTTTTCGACTTGCTTATATTATATAAGGGCGCGATCCTTGTATGTGATCAGTAAGGTTAGTGGACCATACGTGTAATTTAGGAAAGAGGAAAGGGTAAAGAAAACTACAGATAATTTTAATTACATTAAACACGACAACATGAAGCTGGTTGCAAACACGAAATTGGTCGTAGGCCTTAATGGGTTGTACTCGCTTTTGTGCGTTCAGCAATGGCATCTGTTTCGCGCGAATCGGCATTGGCTTCGTTTTAGGCGTCAACAACAAAAAGGAAAGGTTGCCCCCCCCCCCTTGATTTTGACTTGAGATTTGTATTGACTGGGCCTCCCCTAAATACGAGGAACAGCACGCTAGTAGGCTCGTCGCGCTGTTGCCCTCACTCTCCAAGTCCCAATACCGACAAACGGAAAGCATCGAGATCAGCATCAAGCACCAAGTCATCGATTGGATTGTCACTGAAGGAGGCAGCGTCCCGTCACGGGCAGAAACGCACGTTTGCGTGGATAGCGGATCACGGCCTCGGATTTTCGCCAGTGGTTGCGCGATCGAGAGCAGATCATGGACGAGTGTGGTGCTGCAGTCGAATATATATTAAAATATGGGGGCCGTCGTCCCCTGCTAGGATCTGAAGACGGACTCATCGAACTTATTTACGAGAAGCGCATCCGGAAGGAGAACGTCAATCGTGCAAGGACCGCGCCGACAGCAATTCAGCTCTTTCAAGCTAGCCGTACTGCTGAAGAGCACGAGGACGATCCTGACCCGTGGGTACACAACTTCATGGTCCGCAACAACTTTACGTTTCCGAAGCGCACGAACTTGACAACGCAGACTAATGAAGTTATGGTTGATCTTAACTACGAGTTCGGGAGTTAACTGTAGCCTTCCCGGTAAATCAGTAACAACACGTTTTTGCGTTGCAAGTTGTGCTGTTAATCACTTGGCACTGCTATAGCAATATCTATCTTGTAAACGGGATTTTGTTTGCCATGCGCGCTTACCTCTCCAGGCCCTGTGGTGCGAGCCACCAAGGCGCCGCGTGGCAGGGGGCTTCCTATTCTGGGGGGGCAAAGCTTTTTGGAAAGTAGGCAGACTTTAACGGATTAATGTAGGGGGTGATAGCCTACAGCTTGCGCCACTTTGTCTGAAACGCCATTTACGGTGGTGGCGCGGAGTTCTGAATCATAGACGGTGAATATTGAAATGAGAAAAAACTTCAGTGGCGGCCAACTGGTCACCCTTCGTATTACACATGTAAAGTATAAGTTTGGTCAGAATTGCGCTTTCTCGTGCATTTTTGGCATTCCTCAAATCATTTATGCCGATTCCCGCGGGGGTCATGGCTAAATCGCCTACCCCTCGTTGACTTGAAAATTGTGAAGACCAATACAAAATCAAGTAAGAAAAGCTTCTCGCGCTCGGCTCACGTTAAACTTTTGCTCATAACACGTTCCAGGCCGTCGGGTTCAAGGGATTAAGTACTACCCAGACGGCAGATTCTTATTCAATTTCAATACATTAGTGTCGCAGAACTGTAACTGGGGCATAATAATAGAGATAATTAGGTAGGATTCAGCACGTCGCATTACGGTTAAGACAACAATTTCACTAAGAAAATATCTACAACTGATGATGCTATTAGATTTTCTCCACAATCTTATCATCAAGTTCAAAGACAGCTTATATTAAAAGGAAAGATGAAAAAAGTGCTTAGCTCCCTCCTTCTTTGCCTCATTAGTCTGACCATGCTCGTCCATGCAGTCCTGTGGAGATTTTCAGTGACGGATGGCAAAAAGTACGCCAAAACCGATGCTGCAAAGAGGAAGAGACTCTCATATCCTGAGCTATGCCGATCAGACACTGAATGGTTATTCGGCCACAACAGCGCTCGATGCAGAAAAATATATCACCAGATACTTGTTGTGCTCCTATGAACGAGAACCCGGACCAAAGTGTGCTGTTCGGTGAGTATGGGGCTCACGATAGAAGATTTTAATGTGAGAAAGACGTTCTGATATTACGGGTCCCTCTAACGACATATATATATTGTGAGTTCTACTCTAATTTTCCGATCGGGGCGGATTGAATCGACCGTGGCAAACCGCCGGCGAATCGCCAAAGCACTTGGGTTGACTATGGTCGCCCGGCTATGCCTCCCTACTAAGTACGGATTGGGCTTGACATGCGGGCACAGAACCATATGTTTGTTGGCCGGCGATTCGGCAAATGACTTGATGTTTGTATTGGTCGGTTGGACAGGGGGCAAATTTGGCCGGAATTCACAATATATATATATATATATGATGCTATAATGCTACACGCATTGCTAAGTAATCATCGAGTGGTGACAGTGCTGAAGTGGTTAGGGACATCCAAGCACGTTTCCAGAGTGCCTGAACCAAGTAGTTTGAGATGGTAGCAAAAGAGAAACGAGCGCAACTTCAAATTGCCTGCGATAATGGTAGCCTCGTAGGTGTGTTATATGCTGCGGTTAACATGGCTGAAAGCGCCGTTCAGCTCATTCTTGTCAAAGGCCGAACTAACACTGCTTAGAATACGGTCGAAAAAAGTTGTGAACAGATATCAGACGTATTTGAAAAGCATCGAGACTGCTATCACATTCAATCCGAGCCTAGTTATGATGGTATCCCATCAAGTTTTTCAGGTACATGCGTCGCGGTATGTCTCACGTCTGTTGCATGTAGTGCAGTGACTACGGCGAGTTGAACCAGCTCAACTCAACCACGTTGAAGTCGGAACTTCGCGGTGGCTGGTTGGCGAATTTAATCGCCCCCCCCCCCCCCCCCCCCGCTCTCTGAAGTAATGGTGAGTGTGTCTTAAATCAAACAGAGTGCGGGGCCTTCTTCATTCGGACGACCACGCGTTTTATTATTGCTTATCTATCAATATCCTGCGGGCCTGAGCTGATCCATTGAAAGGAAAATTTTAATGGGTTTGAACTGCCGTCAAATGCACGCAGCAGCCGCGTTAGAACATAGTTCTACAGCTACCGCGACTGTCTTTCGGTTTCACACATCAACAAAAAAACACTACTTAAAGTTCAGCGACCAGCTCGCGGTCATATCAGGTTCAATTTCCCCTTTCGACAGTGGTTTCGTAGGAGGAGGAGGAGTCATTCGCACATTGGCTGAAGACATCGCGTTTTTACCCCGGCAATGTTGAGTAGCCGATTAGACGTCAGTTTCTATACTCTCTGACAACATGGGGGGGCGCTGAGATTCAGTGAAAGGGCATGTAAGCACTGATCGTATCTGTCTAACATTTAAGGGTTCTCCAAACGGTGAATTCAGTCGAATCCCCCTTTTTTTCTTCTACGGTCTTACATCGCCCCCTGTTCTCGCTCACCCGGATTTCTCTCGTGAATTTCATATTCGAATGGATGCCAGTGACTACGCAGTAGGTGGATATCTTTTTCAGGTGGACTCTGACGGGAAAGAGCAAATTATTGCGTTTGGAGGACGCAAATTGAACTCGGCTGAGTTGATGTACCCAACCTTTGCGTAGTGAGTTCTGTAGACCAGTCTGTACATTAATCGCTTTCGCCCCCAATTATGTAGTAGTTTGTGGGCTTTCTTTATTACATAAAAAAACACCTCAAAAAGATTGATTGCTTACCTGGAGCACAAGGACTATTACTTGGGGAAAGGAAATAGCTCGTAAGAGTGGTGACTTCGGTATGCCTGGTCTAATTATGACAGTAACAGCTCCAAAGAGGGTGGTATGTTTGCTGGTGATACTGGTGCAAAGGCTGTGGTGTTGGTGATAACGTACGCGCTACTGATAGTGATAATCCGTTTAATCATTTTGGTCTTGGAGATGCAGATACGAACTGATTCCAGATACCTAGGAGACATCCTGCCGTATGATCCTCTAAAAAAACTATCACAAGACTACATTCAACGAAAAGCAGCATGGAACATTTTGTAAAGCTGGCGAAGCTATGCTTCAAAGATGAAAAATAAAGAAGGGTGCTGAGAGTTCATCACCTCGAATGCCCCATGACCAGCAGCTACGACTGTTGCTTGGAGGTTAAGGAGGCACAGGAAAGAGTCAGGTGACAGAAATCAAAGAAGCATTGTGTTGTAGCTGGGTTCGTCGAAAAAGTAATGACCGCGACAAAGCGAGTTTGGGGTTTATGGCACCGCACGACTGATAACGGTCTCATTAAGTCTTTTCGCACAAACTCCACGTCTCGCAGCTCTTCCTCCTTTCCTCTCTTCTGAGGTCAAGGGTTAGCAAAATGAGTGTCGAGTGGAGCAACAAGAGCCGGCGCGCTCTGGTGCACACGGAAGCAACAAGCCCTGCGCTTCGCGTGTGTGAGTCTTGAGGCCAGACGGGTACAGAAGCACGTGGAAAAGGCATGCCTCCGCCCGGGATTGAATCGGAGACCTTCTGTTTACAAGACAGATGCTCTACCACTGAGCCACACAGGCGTAACTTTTGACCTTCGACCACCCATTTTCACCCCCCCAAAATGCCGCGCAGCACAAAATACCACAAAATAAACAACGCACGCTCCGAAAACGAGTAGTTCCCATCGGAACGTCACCGCGGCTATCCACCTACCCACGGCCTCGTCATATTGCAACACACTACAACACGAACGACGGATGTGCCTTCTCCAATATTGACGCGCCAACCACCATCACTCTCCGCCTTCCATATTTACCCGCACCTGCAAATGGATTTAATTTATCGCCCAGCACAACGAAACTTGTGTCACAAGCGCCTTGCCATACGCTTAGGCCACCTAGCCCTCCTTGATCTATCTTCTAGCCTGACTTCAGAACACACTTGTACCAGCTGTCGTCTACCACCTGTCGCGTGTACTGTGTTGTACAAATGCCTCGACCGGGCCCCCTTAAGGTTGGAAGCGCTGACTTGAGAGTGTAATGCCCAGGTCCTGAGTGCGTGTACGTGTGTGTGCGTGTGTGTGTGTGTGTGTGTACGAGGGTGCGTGGGTGGGTGATGTGTGTGTGGCTATTGCAACCGACTGGTTGCAACTTCACTTTGTTTGACGCCCCGCCTGTATTTGGTCAAATTGAGCGTTGTTACGTGCACGCCTGTGTGTGTATGCTCTTAAGCAACAGTCGATCGTTGACTTGTACGATAGGCTCTGGGAGCCGCGGCACCACAATACACGGTGCATGAACGTCGACTGGATGTCTGGTTAGAGCGGTGGTGTGAAAACGAGTGGTTCGACCATGATGTAGCTACATCCACAGCAGCAGGACGAGCAGTTTCAGCCGCGTGCAGTTCTTCTGAGGTCAAGGGTTAGCAAAATGAGTGTCGAGTGGAGCAACAAGAGCCGGCGCGCTCTGGTGCACACGGAAGCAACAAGCCCTGCGCTTCGCGTGTGTGAGTCTTGAGGCCAGACGGGTACAGAAGCACGTGGAAAAGGCATGCCTCCGCCCGGGATTGAACCGGAGACCTTCTGTTTACAAGACAGATGCTCTACCACTGAGCCACACAGGCGTAACTTTTGACCTTCGACCACCCATTTTCACCCCCCCAAAATGCCGCGCAGCACAAAATACCACAAAATAAACAACGCACGCTCCGAAAACGAGTAGTTCCCATCGGAACGTCACCGCGGCTATCCACCTACCCACGGCCTCGTCATATTGCAACACACTACAACACGAACGACGGATATGCCTTCTCCAATATTGACGCGCCAACCACCATCACTCTCCGCCTTCCATATTTACCCGCACCTGCAAATGGATTTAATTTATCGCCCAGCACAACGAAACTTGTGTCACAAGCGCCTTGCCATACGCTTAGGCCACCTAGCCCTCCTTGATCTATCTTCTAGCCTGACTTCAGAACACACTTGTACCAGCTGTCGTCTA